TCAATTCCCCTTAAAAAATTATTTCTCCTGTTTCTCCTCCGTTAACAACTTTAATATACGTATATATACATACACCAGAGCTGTCAACGAAATTTTCCCTGATTTTCTCTAATGTTTCCCTAAGAGAAGACATACAATTCTTTGTATGTGTGTGTTTGCATAAATATGTGCATTGTTTTTTTTTTTGCTGTTGTTCGAAATCAGGATTTGTATTCGTATTGGTTGGATTCGTAATTGCGCCCTATCTCTCGTAGCGCCATGGTGTGGCGAAACTAAAAACTTGTATCAGAGAACGCTATTGAACAATGGCGCGCAGTAAAAACGACGGTACAATGCAGACTATGACTCCTGTACAAACTATGTCACCATTCAACATTTCCAGACTCGTCTTACGTTTGCATAATATTGAAATTAATTTCAAATAATTTGTTCCATTTGTTTTCAATTTATATTATTTTTATTTAAAAGATTTTTTGACCAGTCAGGGTTTTACAAAATCTGCCGAAGAACTTTGTAAATCGAGTCCATATCTAAGCATTGAGGATTATGCACATATGAATGAAAAGAAACCTGACAAAACCAGACCGCTATTAGACATTATCGGAGAATTCAGTCAAATTCGAGAGATTGGTATGTATGCACAATTGAACAGTGACAAAAAAGTGAATTTGAATTCGTTTGTACAATAAATGTGAAGCGGATAAGACAAAGTAGGTGTCAAAAATTATTTGCACTCATATTTATCGTCAAACATGAAATCAGAAACGTCACATGATATGCTAATCAACTAAGAAGTTGATTGTGTCGATTTAATAAATGTGTTAAATAGAAATGACTTTCAAATAGAAATTTCATTCAAATCAAATTAAATTTTTCTTTTTTTTTTGCAGTGGATGAATTTTTCGAAGAAGAATGGAATCGATATGATCCAAATGATGTACCAATTGAATTACTTCGAGCGCGAACATTGAAGGACAAAGTTCTATATGCATGTCGAAAATTTGGTAGCCCCAGTACTAGCAGTGCACAGCCAAGTCAAAGAACGGTAAAGCGGAAACGATCAACTGAAATTGTGTATCAAAGTGAATATAGTACTGATTCAAGTGACAGTTCTGATTCGGTTAAAGCAACAGACGTTCAAGATGGCAAAGGTTATAGACCGAAACATCGAATAGTTTATAAACTTAACCCAGATATGTTACTCAACTATAATAAAGAACAGGGTGACATTTGTACAGATGTGAGTGATTATGTTTATTCACATGATTCAGAAACTATTGACCATGAAAACGTAAACAATGAATTGCGTCGGATTATTGTTGTCGATACAGAAAGAGTAAATATAGAGGGATCAATTCCTCCATCTCAATATTTTTCGCACATCCAAAATGATTCCAATGAATGCACTACTGTGAACATAAACCATGAAATGATCCATCAAAAAACCGTCACAATGCCTCCAGCAAATCCGATAAATGATAAGAAATAGATTAGCGTTTGTTTACTTCGATTCGTGTTTGAAATCAAATTCAAAATACCAATACAATATAAAACTGTATAAGAAGACCGAAAATTAATATGCATCATTCACACAAAACAATACAAATATTTTAATCATTTTTTCAAATAAAGATTTTTTTCAAATCAATTTGTCATCTATATTATTTATTAAATTGGTTTGTTTTCACTGAAGAGTCTTCAATAATACACTATCATGCCATTACTCATTCTTTTAAATACTTTCAATTGAATAGGTATTTGGATCAGTCGTTGCCACTATTCCATTGCATTGCTTCATCAAACATATCCATCGTTACAGTGCATGGATTCAATTTGATCGTTTTCCTCGAGCAAAAATAGTTTTGGTTTTTTCAAAATTACTTGAAAATATGGTTTCATACATCGATAGCACGGAGCTATCATTCCCCATTTTATACATGAAAATTTAATAGCAATTTCCCTGTAAAAACGTAGAAATTTTATTTAGTTACTATGGAACGAAAATATTTTGTTTTTTATACTTACTTGTTAAATGTGTGACTAATGGCAGCGGCTGCAATAACTGAGTATGGAAAATTGACAATTTCAACATCAAGCGTACAGAGATCAATAAGTTGTGCGGTTTGTGCGTACTCCATTCCGGAAAATTGTGGAAAAACGAAACCATCATCGATGCCATTGTTCGTGGCCGACGTTTTTTCATTGTGTGATGTCTGTGTTGCTGTTGAATTTTTCAGGACTTGTTTCTGTGGTGTTTCTTCATATGTCTTTGGTGTTCGGTTGCTAACTTGAAGTTGCATATAAATGCCAAGCCATCCGATGATTGTGATTGGGCTGGTTTGCCATTGCAGTGCACTGAGTATGACGAGTTCTTGTTTCAGAATATCCTCTTCGCTGCATACACCTTCCGTGACAGAGACAAATTCGCTTAATTTCGGCGGGTAGATTTCTTCAACTTTGGCCGCAATAAATAGGCATGTGATGCCAATCAATTTCAACAATGTTTTCGAAATGCTAACTATTGTCGATAGATATCGATCCAAATAGTCTAAGGCCAAGTAATATGTTTCACGATGTAATTTATATACTTCGCACACCTCGCATAGCCTATCCAATAAAATTGCACGCATTCGTTGCTGATGTTTTTGTAGCATTTTTGAACTCCTATCCATCGATGTCTTTCGAAACCGTCATTTAAAACGTTCATCGAAAAATTTGAATTTAATTGTGATTCTTCGAAAAAGAATAAATTTAAACTAGATTTAAGAAAGAAGTTTGGCACAAACTGTCTGTCAAACCAAAAGACACAAATTAAGTCAAGACCATAGAAATAGCATGTCAACAAAGTCTACGATATAATTGACCATACACATAGTGTGTAAAAATTGCCAGTGTCTATATTTGATCAGACACTTTTCACATTTTAGACATAAGTAATATTGTTGGTATTCGATCAGTACGATAATTATCAACAAGACGCAATCTGTTTTTTTTGAGCACCAAATCAAGCAATGTATCTCGAAACGAATTTTTAATTGCAAATTTGAACAATAGAACAATAGAATAATAGAGTAATAGAACAATATAACAATATAACAATATAACAATAAATTGAATGGCGAGGGCATATACCTAAAAAAAATATCAAACCATTTGTAATTAGAAAAACACCAATAAAATACACACACACATACACACACAAACGGACATTCACTATATTTCCATACAATTACATGAACAAATAAAATGTCTTACATCCGTAAGATGAACTTTCCCGCACAATTTTTGCGTACAGGGTACAGGATACAGGGTACCACGCACATACATTCGGACATCAAAAAAAAAAACGCTAGATTCATGTTCCCTGGCTCCTAAAACACCCAGAAATCATGTTTTTTGAGGGTGTTAATTTTTCGACCGATTCCAATACTTTACCTTACACACTAGGTGTGTGCGGAAAAGTAATAATCGAAATAAAATCAAATTCACACATAAAAAATCAAACACACATAATGATACTCATCAAATGCAATAGTAATACAAAAAAAAAGGAATTTCAATTAGCAAATTCCATGGAATTAAGGTATTTAAATAAAACACTTTTCAATTTTCGAGAAACATTGTTAAAGCTTTTGCATCTGGAAAATTAACTGTAGCCAAAATTGATAACTTTACACCGTTATCAATGTTGAATCGAGCTGAGTAATCTGATCAAATCTCCATAAAAATCAAAAAAGCAAACGCGAACAATGTTCAGTGAATTGTGGAATTTATTGAGAATTTCTATTTTTTATAAATAGATTGTATGATTGAATTAATCAAAAATAGTTAAAATTCCTTTCTCTTACTAGATATGCGAAAAAGAAAAAAATTCCGAAATAATTCGGTTAATTTTTTAAAAAAAAAGTAAATTCTTAAAAATGGTTTATGTCCTAGGGGGGAGACACGAACTTGAAAACTAAAAAAACTGAAAAAAACTAAGAAAAACTCAGGAAACTTGTGTCCAATGGAATTCGTAAAAGACGTATTAGTTTCGTTGAACTGCACTACCATCTTTTCGAAATCATATGATTTCGAATGGTATGACGTTTAAGCAGTTGAACGAACCGTCATATTCAATATTGTATATTTTGCCAATCTAAGCGGTTTTTACAAACAAACAAGCCGTCCGCTACATTCAGTCATTCACATAGTCATCACAGTGCAATGTTCACAATTTATAAAACGAATATATTCGTGTAGTTAAGAGTGAAAGAAAATGGTAAGTAATATGTATTTTTTTTACACGTTTTAATTGTTCACCTTTTGTAGCGGTAAAAATAAAAATATTAAATTTTAAATAAATTACAAAAACGAATGGATTTTTTCATTGTTTCAGCCAAAAATTCGATCAAAGGCCTGGAGTGAGTTGGAGAAATTCACTCGTGAGAAATATCCGCCATGTATCAAAGGATTTCTTATTGCAGCCGGCTACAATAAGTTGATTGCATTGAGTGAAATTGATGAGAGAACATTGACAATCATCGAGGACCACATTAACGGAAATCGCCATCTTGTTACAAATTTGGCATGCTGCTATAAAGACGACTATAAAAAGCAAGAGAAATTTGGTTTCTTGCCTGGTCATCGAGCCACGATTTTGGGCATTCCAGAAAAGGTGAAAAATTTGCAACAACAAGAACGACAAGAATCAGTGCCAAAATCAAAGAAGGCTGTGTCTGAAGACGAATTAAAGTCTACTTTACTGAAGAAATTAGCTGAGTACACGAAAAGACAAGGCATACTATTAAACGCTGGCGTGATTTCGGAGCGTAATCTTCACCAATTCAAAGAAGACTCGAAGAAAGGTCAAAAAGTGTATCAGTGTTCATTTGGATGCCCATTTTGTTCCAAGAAAATTTCACTACTCTACAAAGAATACTGGATGGCAAGTAACGTTACGAAGCATCTTAAGGTTCATTATGATTCATTCAAAGCGAGTGGAGGTGTAACAGTGGTTGAAGAAGATGTTAGTATTGAAATGAATTGAGATTAACTGACTATAGTCAAACTTTGAAAAGACTAATTTTTGATTTTTAAGTTAAGAATATGTGTTGAAATTAATAGTCAAGTACAATGTATACTAAAAATGGCAATGCTTGCAAAAAATGCCGAAATAAATAAAATGTTTGTACTGTGAATGAAAATGTTTTTTTTTATATATGCGTATCCATTTATTTTTGCTGTGTTAATCATATTGAGACTTTGGACCACACACGATGAAATCGATTCTTTTGATTTTATGCTGTTGATATTTGACACAGTATTTTTTTAATTTTTGCAGCTTTGCACATTTGATTGAATGGGAATGTGGTCACTGCTAGGATCACTGACATTTTTTTTGCAAACATTGCATAAAACGAACATCGAATTCTTCCAAACAGGTAGTGGTCAACCAATAATTTTGGTCATTTTATTTTTCTGAGCAAATCAAGAACGTCCAAACACATTTGGATAAAAAATATTTTTTTTTACATAAGATAGTCGGACTCAAGGTATGATCTCAGAAATGCGTAAAAATATCTAAATTAAATCAAGTTAAACGCAAAATAACATGAACATGAAATTGTTTATTGAAACTGCTTTATATTTAGATCAGGTTAGAAACATCCTTTAACATATTAAGTATCGATATATATACGAAAAATATCACACTTTAAAAATAAGAAAATATAGAAACTGGACTTTTTAATTTTAATGTTTTTGAGAGATCGTTTCATCTTTTGAGTTCATGCCATTGACATATTTCTTAGTCCTCCTTTGCGCATTCAAAAGAGCATGCAAATTCATAGCCATCGTAAAACTGAATTGGAATGTGGCCACCACTGAATGATTTGCCACACACACTGCACACAATTTTTCCATAATTGTATCTTTCAACTGGAACTGCAATTCGCTTGGAACGACGTTTTGTATCTGGTGTATCAATTGGTGGAGACATAGCCAAATGAACACGATTTTTTTCACCTGTAAATATAAGTATGTTAATTCATATAACTGTATACGTTTTCATAAAATGATGGAACTCAAAAAACGTCAAAAAATTACCGTTTGTTGCAATCAACGTCAAACCATCATTTTTTGTGCAAGCAATACCGCCGCCTTCGTTCAAATTTTTTGTAGTTGCTTCTTTAAATAAAAATATGAATTATGAATAAATTGAGTTTTGAAGCGTTCAGAATATACTAACCTAATATTTCGTCAATTTGATTCACACCAACAGCATTATTGTCAACCGTATTAGCACATTCATTGCCGACAATATTTTCTGGGCCATTTTCTTCTACTTTGAACATCGAAAATCGTTTAAAAATAATAATTTTTTTCAAATTAAGAATCATGAATATTTTTCACCTGTTTCAACAATGTTTGAACGATCATTAGCCAAATCAGTCTTGTCAATCAAGAAGGTTTCCGTTTCAATCGGATTGAAACAATCACTTTTCGGTCCATTACCGTACGAATTTGGCTCTGTTATTTCTATTTCATTGGTGGCAATGTGTTCATCGTTGTTGATGTTTTCTTCAACTGTAATAATTTTTGCGGTCATTAAATTCCAATAAAGATTGCAATATTTTCACAAAATAAGGAAAATTACAAAAACTACCATGTGCTGTTATCAATGCCAACCCGTCATTTTTTGAGCCTTCCAAGTCGTGACCTTTGTTCATGTTTTCTGTATCTTCTTCTTTAAATAGAAATATAAATTAACCTCATGAAGTATTTGAGGCTTTCAAAATATACTAACCAAACATTTCTTCAACTTGATTTATACCAGCAGCATTATTGTCAAACAAATTAGCAATTTCATCGCCGACAGTATTTTCTGTGTGAGTTTCTTCTGCTGTGAAAATCGAAAGTTCTTGGTTATTAAAAAATACATTTCAGACAAAATGTCACTAAATAATTTTATATTTTCTTACTTGTTTCATCACCGGTCAAAATGTTTGGTGAACGAAATAGTGCGAAAAATGTCATTATTAATTTCAATATAAATTGTAGTAGGCCATGCAAAGTGTAAGAATTACCATGTGCAAAATCATCATTTGGCTGATTTGCAACCAAAAGACCTTGGTTTCCATGTACTGGTCGCATTGAACGATTTATCATTCTGCTGTTGCAGTTTGGACAGTTAGTGTTTCTATAATTTAGTGTATAATTAATAAATTTTCTCATTTTAACAAACCATATTCACGTTGATACTCACCCTTTTTTTATGTTTGTATCGATGCACAATTCATGGAAAATGTGTCCACAACTTGTCACTTTACATTTTTTTGCCACACCAAACAATGGATCTAGACAAATTGCACAGTCCATGGTGAAAGCCTTTTAAACTTTACCTTTACCAAACAAAAAAGTTGAACGAAATTTCAGACTTCAATATTAATTTTTCTCCACGTTACTGAATAATTTTGAAATCGTAATATGTATGCGCGAAAATAATGCAATGTGTTTGACAGAATAATACTATGCCGAATGAGAGGGAACGAATGACAGCAGTTATCGACTACAGATTTTCGAAGTACATACAATGATCATTGCAGTCATTTGGTTCAATATTTGAATATTAATTTATATTTTATTCAAACAATAATATATTTTTCTATTTGTTTCAAATTTCTGTTTTTATTAACAAATTATTTTGTTTGAAATAATTATAATTTGAATGAATGTTGAACAAAAAAGATTTTCTGAATAATAAAATAATATATGAGACGCTGAGAGTATAAACCCAATAAGTGAGGTTAGAATGTTACGCAAATTCGTCTAAATTTAACTTTGTTGTTGGACGAACACGGTTATACTAGATATACAATATCAGCACATATTTAAATTCCAATTAATCTAGTAATATCTAGATTTAAAGTCTTTCGTTATTTTCTGTCTTTAATTTTTAAACACTTTTGTTGTGCAGCAGAGATTTTTTTTATATTTGAAAATAAAATAAAAAAATCGTCTTGATTTTTGAATTGTAATTAATTTCGTAATGAATGAATTCCTACAATTGCTTATTAAAACATATATCCTGTCGAGATAAATACATCATTTTTACTCATGCATAATTTGCTCAATGAAAATTACATTGTAAGCAAACATATGCCCACACTGAAAAATACACGATAAAACGTTATAATAAAGGTTTTAAGAAGGGACAAAAAACGTTCTTAATATTCTCACAAAAATGAAGATTGATAGCTTCTTTGTTTACATTCTTAATAAAAACGCGATTTTTTGGTGAGAAATTATTTTGTTTGAAATAATAATGACTTGAAAGAATGTTGAAAATTTCAAACTTTTGAAAATATTAAACAAAAAGTAATTTTATGAACATATTTATCTATTATTATTGTGCACAACTGATGTAGAGAATTAGCGCTATTTTCTGTGAATGATTATCTAAGCTATTTTTTTAATTCGAATCACCATTCAAATAATGAATGTTAAATTACCATAGACGACATTGAAAAGTAAAATAAAATAAGAAAAATGGATAAAACAAATTATTATGAATTGTTTTTCTTAAATTTAATTGAGTTGCATCTTCCGTTTTTTACTGACTTGCACTCTTTTCAATCTGTCTTTACTGGTAGCTGCGCCGGGTTCAGTCAGTATCCAAATTAATGTCGATTTTCTAATCTTTCTTTGAACGCCACTTTCATCAATTACTACTGTGATAGGTGAACTCGGATCTTGACTCGGATCCAATGCTACTCCAGATAATACTTCATTTTCATTGCTATTGCCTTCTGAAGTAGCTCTTGAATCACCCAGTTCATCAAATTCTTCATCTTCTTCATTATCAAATTCTTCATCTTCAAACTCGTCCTCACTATCAGTCTCTAAATCTGTTAGAGTTATGTTTGAATGAAAGTCATACGTATCAATATTATTGGAATCCATGCCAAACTTCCTCGCATCATCAACTGCTTGTGTCTTTGCTTTCTCTAATGTAGAATTGATTTCTTCATTGGAGGGTAACTCGAAAATTTCAGTTTTTTTTGTTCTTTTGTGTGATAAAGGAATTGGTATTTCATTATTGGGTAATTTAAAATATGCGATGTCATTCAAAACCTCAATTCGGCGAACCATGAACAGCAAATCGTATACGGAAAAATTAATGCGCGTAAAGTTCATGGTTCCCATTGAGCGCAATTGCCTGAATGTTTTTTCACATGTTTGACTATCACATATCGTGGGAAGGAATAAATGAGGCGAATTGGCATCGCGAAATTGTTTTATGAGTCCAATCAAATGAAAAGCATTCAGTTCAATACAAGTATATGCATTATGTGAGATGAAATTGTTTTGCAATGTGCGATGAGGTGAAGAAATTACCCAATTTCTCCAAATTCGAAGAAAGTAAACTGACCGAAACATTACAAGTAAGCGATCCAGTGGCTTCATATCGTTACTCAAAAAACTTGATGTGATATCAAAACAGAGTTCAAGATACTTGATAGTGGCCTCGCAGTCACTCACATTGTTTTTAAGTGCCTCAATCACCCGATTATCAACGATTTTCTGGAATGACCTGAAATTTTGCCTATCGATAGGATAAACATCAGACATGTTTAACCCGTGAATGCTTTTGCTTATGTTTTTCACAAGATATTTTAAATGATTGATCGAAGCGGTTTTTGAACCCATGGCTAAAGCAGCAGCTTCTTTCAAAAATCGGTTTCTTAATTTCACTGCTATATGAATCATATCTTGTATGAATCTCTCCGTTGGTTCATTAATCGTTTGGTGACACATTGCAGCCAATAGCTTCGGGTCACCATCTGAGCTCCATCCAGCGACAATTATACCATGCCTGTAATTCAAATGTTCGGATTATATTTTCATTCTAACAGGGTTAAAAAGCATTTAAAAAAAAATGAGCGATATTAAATGAAAAATGATAGAGTTTTTTTTATCTCAATGATGCATATCATAGTTTCTTTTATTTTTCATGAAAAACTCGTATTTTTAAGAATTCTTTAACTTCACAAGCTATGATATACTATCGTTGATAGTGCTACGATCTTACTTTTTTAACTCTGTTTTCGTGAATTTCCATCTCTTGATAACGTCTTGAGTATCAAATCTGTTGTCGCTTCCATACATTTGTAACACAAACGGGGGAATGGATTCATCCAAAGGTTGAGCCATAATAAAATATGCAACCGTCGATTGATTTTGAGCCAAGTGATTTTTAATCGTATCAGCATCAGTTGCAATGAATGAAAATGGTTTCGGACAACCAGTTGTTTTGTTTGATGGTAAAACTAGTCCCACCATTTGGTTTGTAGACGGATCATATGTCACTTTACATGTCAATGCGGTAGCATCTTCGGAGAGCCATACAAATCGCGTCGTCTTCATTTGTTCTAAGTATTCGGATAGCTCTTTAGCTCGCAGTTCACCTTCAATCAGTGGTTTTTTTATGTTACTTATACATCTTGCTGAAATATGTAAATTAACACATAATTAAATGAACTGAATGTGTCATGAAAAAAAGTTTCGTGTTCATTTTTGGTTCGTGATTGGAATTTTAAGAAGAAAATTTTACTTTGACTTCATCTAATATTTTAATTTTTTGCATTGCTATTTATTATATATATATATAATAACAAAATTAAAAAAAAAATACTCAGAAGAAATGTAATCCACAAAAAATATTAGATTTTACATTAAAGAAGTAACATTGGGAAATAAATATATGAAAATTGAAAACAAAACCGTTCAATGCAAATTAAATGCAATACTTTGTCATCCAGACCATACAAATATCGGACATATGAATTTTAGTATCAAAATATAGTACATATCTGAGAAAATATGACATTGGATTTTTTTTAATTTTGTGTTATTTATATTTCTGTCGTTTAAACTAGTCTTTCGATGTTTTTGTTAATGCATTGGGATATTTTAAACCAATTTCAGTCATTGAAATGTCCAAGATGTGCCTATTATTATATGAGAAGAAAAATTGAACGGACATCAAACTTCATACTTGCCCATATATATGGCTCGAGTTGCTTTTGATATTAAAATTTAAACTCTTTACACGATCATTAAAGAAAATCGAGCAATTTTCAAATTTAGTTGTTCCGAATCTTTTTTGAAACATGAACGGTTTTTTAAACATTTATTGTGAGAATATCATTTCAAAAAAAATTTAAAAACGAAAACAGATTGAGCGAACCGAATACAGATTTGAATCCAAACGAACCAACAATTGAATGTAACGAAAAATATATATGTTGATTAGCACCTACTAATTGTTTAAATAACTTACAAATTGTTTTGATTGATGGAAATGGGAAATTTGTATTCAGCATTTTATAGCCCGATCTCCCAGAGTGTAAAAAAATGTATGTGGCAAAATATCGCAATTTGTCCGAATATCTGGCCTGCTTAGCATCTTTCATTGCATTGAGCTCGGCTATCTCAATCATTTCACTTAACATGGGGAAATCGACGATCAATTGGGACGGTAGCTTTCCAACACGAATGAGATTTGGAATACTACTTTTCACTACTTTTCCCAAAGCCAAAAGTAATGCCACATGGCCTGGTAAAAACTTAAAATCCGGCTGATTTACATAATATTCAGAGTGGGTGCAATTTATTTCTCTTTTGAATTGGTCGAGTTTTTTATTATTGATGTATTTTTCTATTTCAGCAATTCTCAATTCATTTAATTCACTTAATGCAATGTTTGAATTATATCCGCTTAGGTGTAATGTCAATTTTATACATCTTGGAATTGTTTCATTAATTATTGACTCCAATAGATCCCAATTCATCTAGATTTTTTTGAAAAATGTTGATTTTAAAAATTTTTGTTTTTAATGATTATAATATATAACTTACCATTTTTAATAATTTTTCGCACAAGTAAATAATAAAAAAAGACTGATAATCGCAATAGATTTGATATTGTATAGATTGTATTTGATAGATAATGTGTCAAATTCGAAGCGTCACATATTTCGAAAGTGTTTACCGAAACGATCGGCAGTACAGATTAATAGTAGTGCCCGCTTACTTTGTAATACTACACCACACTCAACAAAACTTAGAAAAACTCGGACTTTAAGAGAAAAACTATAACAACTCAAATGAAATTTAAAAAACTAATAAAAACTC